CAATCATGATTTAGCCCATAGGCCACTGGATACGTGTTGAACGGTTGCCTAAACATAGGTCTGCAGGCGTATTTTAGCGAAAAATCGTGTTTTTCTATCACTCCGAGGCTTTTTTGACACCGAGCGCATCGTCTTACTAAAACGAGCTTTCAATATGTTATCAAGAAGGCTTTAGGACACATTTTAACCCTGGTATGGTTTTAGTTAGATGATGCACTCATAATTTAAAAAAAAACTTTTTCAAAAATGGACGTTTAAGGGACATCCGTAAAAATCTTAGAGAATTACGTCGTAAGGTTTTTTTTGGCTACAATTAAAGTAAATCTCTTTGTAAGGGTTGAACAAGGCTTGATAACTGCCCTCGATAATATACGTAGCGTGCATATAGTTGGAGAGGTGTTTTCCCTATGATTTTTGCGGATGTCCCTTAAACGTCGATTTTTGAAAAAGTTTTTTTACTATGAGCACATCATCTAACTAGAACCAAACCCGGGTTAAAATGAGTCCTAAAGCCTTCTTGATAACATATTAAAAGCTCGTTTTAGTTAGACGATGCGCTCGGTATCAAAAAAGCCTCGGAGTGATAGAAAAACACGATTTTTCGCTAAAATACGCCTGCAGACCTATGTTTAGGCAACCGTTCAACACGGATCCAGTGGCCTATGGGCTAAATCATGATTGTTTCCGTAAACTACATTGAGTCAACTTGGAAAACCCGCATAAATTTCCAGATTCTAGGAGGGGGCCAATAAATGCCCTTATCGATACCCCTCCTTTTCGCCTGTCCGGGCCTCCATAACCTGTCAATAATAAAGTCTTTATTTTTCGTGAAGTCAAAAAGTGCCACGATAAACGCCCGTATTTTTCTTAAAGTCAAAAAGTGCCACGATAAACGCCTGAATTTTCGTGACGTCAAAAATGCCGCGAAAAACGCCTCTCTTGAAGGAATAAATATTAAGGAAGAAGAGGAAAGGAGACTGTTTGATAAGCTACAAAAATGGAAGCAAGCACGACGACAAGACTACTGGAGGTGAGGGATGTAGAGAAGTTAAAGGACGGCACCAGAAACGACGGAAAGGGGAAATTTAGGAAGTCTCTTGAGAAACTTCGAAGAAAAGAAATTATATATCCAAGAAAGCAACAGGAAATTTTATAAAATTAAATATCAACATTCATTATTAATTTTATTTTTACAATATTCATTATTTTTGTTGGTAACTCAGTTTTTATTAGTATCGATAAGTATTTAACTATGCCGATACCTCATACAGCAGCAGGCTTCGTTCAAGCCTGCCCTGGAGACCTGCCAGCGCTGGGTACAGCGATGCTCATCGAAATATAAAATTAAAAATCATATTCATTATTAACATTCATTATTAATTTTATTTTGACAATATTCATTATTTTTGTTTGTAACTCAGTTTTTCTTAGTATAGATAAATATTTAACCATGCCGATACCTAAAACAGCAGCAGGCTTCGTTCAAGCCTGCCCTGGAAACCTGGCAGCGCTGGATACGCCAGCGCGAATTTCAGACTGACTACAACCATTGAGCCGCCCAGTTCCATCGGCGCCACAAGCTGTGGATCTTCGCTGCAGAACTGAGAGAGTGCTCAGAGACACATAGAATACTCTGACTCCACCTTCGGTAATGAAACCCATACTGCTACTCTACCACGAGAAGCGTTTGAATTCCCTTTGGATAATGCACCAAGGATACCTGTGAATGAGGAGCAACGAAGAAGTGAATCTTGCGCTCTAGTTTCTACAGCCCAGCATGCTGCAATTCAATCAAGTATCGAGATAACCCCTCGTAGGGTCCGTTTCTCTGACCAGCGAACTCCGACACCTCGACCTGAGATGCGGACTCCCAGATGTGTCACTTAACCACGTACCTCAACATTGATTTCATCAGAATGGACCATAAACAAAGCTTCAGCTCCTAGATCCATATTGCGATCGATAAATGTCACCAGGTCTGCCAACATGACTCCATACAAGCAAGTCCTTTAAGCTCTCTGAAAGAAGCAGGCTCGAGAAATCCGCAGGCTTGAAAAAAAACGAAGTCATGCAAGCCTAAAAAAGCCCTTTTCGACATTACCTCCAATCTAATGAGTATCCGACTGGGCAGTGAAATGTCCCCAGCTGCTGTAGCATTCATTGAATCGCAAATCAGAACTGCTGGGAGGAGCTTAAAAGTAGACGTTGGACTTGGGAGGATGAACTCCTCGCATTGACAATATACAAAAAGTCACCATCCGGATACAGCTTGCTGCGTAATCTGTTTTCTCTGCCTTGCCCGAGCAAACTGAACAGTCTCCTTAACACATTTCCGTTGAGACCTGGAATAAGCGATGAAGTGCTATCTTCCCTGGCAAATACCGTCAAAACTATGAAGAGAGGAGATGAGGTTTGAACTCTTTATTTTGACGAAATGTCTCTGAATCACCATTTACAATACAATCCGCAGCTGGATTTGATGGGAGGGTACGAACTCCTCGCATTGACAATACACAAAAAGTCACCATCCGGATACAGCTTGCTGCGTAATCTGTTTTCTCTGCCTTGCCCGAGCAAACTGAACAGTCTCCTTAACACATTTCCGTTGAGACCTGGAATAAGCGATGAAGTGCTATCTTCCCTGGCAAATACCGTCAAAACTATGAAGAAAGGAGATGAGGTTTTCAGTCTTTATTTTGACGAACTGTCTCTGAAGCACTATTTACAATACAATCTGAGGCTGGATTTGATGGAAGGGTACGAAGATCATGACGATCAAGTACGGTGCAACAAAGTTGCTTCTTATGCTTGCGTGTTCATGGTTCGCGGACTGAGGAAGTTTTGGAAGCAACCTTTAGCCTATTATTTGAGTGGTACCGGCATCTCATCGGCCAGACTTAAAATTGTTATGAAATACGCAAGTTGCGCGGCATAGGCTCAAAACCGACGACGACAATCTGTGACATGGGGAGCGCCAACGTCAAGGCTTTGAAGCAATATGCGGGATAAGCCGTATGATAGCTTCTTCAAACTGGATGCCGAAGAAGTTGTCATAGTCTACGACCCGCCGCACCCTCTCAAACATATGAGGAACATGCTCATGAAACACGATGTCACCTGCATTACTGATGCCGAATTGAATGGAAAAAAGGAGTCACTGGTAAGCTGTTTCCCTGTACCCACCACACCTTCTCAAACGTATAAGGAACATGCATATGAAACACGATGTCACCTGCATTACTGATGCCGAATTGAGTGGAAAAAAAGGAGTCACTGGTAAACTGTTTTTCTACGACACCCACTCCCTCTCATTTGATACATTATATTAACTATCCGAGTATGAGGGACTGTAAAAAATTGCTTCAGAAGCTCATAAACTTTAATTAAGATACTCTTAATAAAACTGTTAACGATAAAGTGCGGTCCGGCAAAGTTGATTCTACTTCTAATTCTATGCAAGTTTCATAAGCTAACGTTTATGAAAGCATGTGGAAGAATAATATGTAGGTCTCATGACATTAATTTATTCGTATCCTTTTTCTCAGGGTTCCCCAGGGGACATGCACTCGAAGCGTGTGGAGAAGATCAAAGATGATTTGAAAAAAATTTATAACGTCAAGCAAGCCCCGTACGCAGTTATTTCCGGCTTGATTCGTGAGTAACAGTCATTCATTCATGTTTATTCTGAGGAAGAAAATGCTCGATAACAGTAGTTGCTTAATTCCATCATTTTTCTGTATGACGTGAGAGCCGAATTTCAGAAATGGGATGTGAAATGGACTGTGTTGACTTTTTTAATATTCAACTAAACTCAAAAAGGGTGGGCATTATGAGTAGAGCTGAGCATGTTCTACCCAAATATTATAGGGTTTTTGGGCTTTAGTCTACGACTTAATTAGCAGGAGAGCTAAATGGACCGCAAACCGTGCAGAAAAGCCCGATCGAGTTTCTTCGTGTATAACTAGTTAGGCAGCAGCCACCCGTCTGTTTTTTTTTTTTTAAGGTCGGCAAATTTTTAGGGGGAGTTTTTAGGATTGGGCCGGGGTGGCTACCGCCACCTAGAGTTCAGGGTCTTCAGCTAAAGCCATCCAGTTTTCTTCTTCGTCATCTCGAAATTTGTTCAACTTTGGCAACTCATTTTAAGTATCTACATGTGTGCGCGTGGCACCTGTGAAATTATTTTATGAGATCTCCTTTTTATTTAAAGCATAGTAAAGGCCTAGGAGCCTAGTTCTTGATAAACTGTGATGATTGCAACTTCAAATCCGTGATATGTTAAACAAGTTAAGGCCACCGAGTCTCCAATAAATCTGATCTATTCCTAAACTGTTGTTGATTTAGTATTGCCTGCCGTCCCTAAATTCATTTAGTTGTATTATTTTCCTTTGGTCCGTTGCCTTTTCTCTCCCAAATTCACACTTCCCTCTATCTCGCCTTTTTCGAGAAATGCATCGGCACAATTCCTCATCTTGTCCCATTTTACTTTTAGGAAATTTTGAAATCATTGAGCACCATTTGAAAGAAGAGAAGAAAAAATCACGAGGCTTTCGGGAAACAGTTTGACGAGGTGCTGCTCAAGGTTGATAAGGACAGTAATGATAGCTCGAGCGAGGCCGGAGATTCACCAAAAGAGATGGAAAAGAAGCTTTCATTCACAGATTTAAGGAGTTGAAAGAATTTGACGCTCAAGTAGGCACAAATGCAGAAGTTTCTAAACAGAAAGTAAGTTGTGTGCCCTATTTTATACGTCAAGTCAATAGACAAAAAAGAGAAGAATTGTCAGATGTATAGCAACTAATTGACAATGAATTGATTGTAAATAACTTATTTCGACGGTGTAAGTCGGCAATCACATAACTAGTTTGCGGTGTCTGAAAATCTCCGCCTCTGTGTTATTTTTTTTAAAGGAGAACAAATTGATATCATTCCTTGAAGTTTTTGCAGAATTTTCTTCGCACAGAGAGGAAAAATCACGGCCGTTTTAAAGAATTGCCGTTGAGTAGTTTTCCATTTAAAAAATTAAGAATGATTGGAAGTCTGCGACGTCGCAAACCGAGTTATGTGATTGCCGACTTGCACCGTCAATTTATCCCTATCAATCTTGAAATTCTGCTACATGGGATATGATGACAGGCACTTGCGACTTGTTCATACTTGGAGCTTAGATAAAATCGTGGGGTGACTCTGGGAAGCGACTCAAAATCTTAAATCTTTCACACACTTTTATAATTAAATAGCGTAATTGTAGAACCCGAAGGGAGTTCGCGATAAACTAAAATTTCCTTAGATGTTCTTGGGAGAAAGAAAACTCGCATCAAGTCGCTTCCTCAAAAAATGATGACCGGCCACTCCAAGTCAAGATGAAGTGCAAGATTAGTTTAACTCGAAGTTTACTCCTAAATAGCACGCTGCGCATGGCGAAATAACAAGTGTCAATAATGTTAAAAAAAATTTCAAAAAAAATTGAAAAAACCTGAGTAATGGACTAAAAAACTAAAAATAAATCGTCAACGTCGGCATTGACCTCCTACACAGCAGACAATGCACAGACGTTCAAACAAAGAGACAATGTGAACGCAAAGTGCTGTCATTGACGGCGCGTAGCTCGGACAGGGGAATGTTTTTCACCGTTTTGTTTCTGTCTTGGTCGCAATTTCCAGGCTTTTAATGCGCACTCCACTCTGCCTAGAGTACCTTAATAAGAAGAGTATGGACAACTCGAAAATTTGGAGGTTAGGTTTGATCAGATCATGTAGCTCTTGGGGCCCAAAATGGTAGCCAACCTATAAGCTCGAATTATCCAGTGGTTCTAATTTAAACTGCGAGAGCAGGTACACTGATCAAAAATTATAAAAGCATGTAAACAACTTTAATTTCGCAAGAATTTTCTCAGTTTCAAAGTCTGAATCCTTTAAATACGCTTGTTTTCGATGCGCTGTCGGCCCTATTGATTAATATTTTAAACATATATGTTGGCAGCGGCACTTTTCTGGTGATATTCGTTTTTCACGTTGTCGCCCTTTTGGGCCCTAGGAGCTACATAAATCGAGTTGTCTAAACTCTCCCTATAAAGGCACTCTAGTCTTGCCATAGCCCGTTTCCACATAAAAACCCCAAGATCCGTTTTCTGGTATGTGCTAAGAGGTCTCATCTTTGATCCAAATGCTGGTTAGCAAGGGGTCTGCAGAACTATCATTCCTCTCGTCCAGCTCTTCTTTTTTTGGACTCGAAATTTGGGAAGGGAAATTTGGTTCGGGCATTTCTTCGGAATCAAGTGCTTCGCAGAGAGACGCATCCCTTCTTGAGACGCGGTGATTGGTGGCATCAGCTACGTTACCTTCAGGAGTCTGGCTGCGTGGATCATCGGGAGTCCATTCTAGCTCGACGATTGCTTCATCATCGACCTCCGGACTCGTTTGTGGTATAGTGGCTTCACTTGGACCCTTGGATTGACTTTCCTCGACTATTCTCTCAGCTGAGAGTGACTGCGGGGCGGGCGCTGTGGAATTGACCGTTTGGCACCCTGGACAGAGGTAAATCGAAAAGGAATAAGTGAGCTGGATCGCACTACATATTCTTTGCGTATTGTTTTTAAATAAAACAATCGAATTTTTCTTTAAAAAAAAAAAAAAAAAAAAAAAAAAAAAAAAAAATTGTAAAAGTTTTATTTGCGTATTGTTTCATTTATAAACAAATAAACATACTTCGAAAGATCTTAGAGTCTGATATTGATCGTTAGTGATCTGAAGTCTAAGGATTCATCTCTAGACAGGGGATTTTTCAACATTTCTAGGGTTTTAGGGATTTTCAAGAAAATCTACGGATATCTGCGGATGAGGTAAAAGTAAGGGGAAAACAGCTCGTTCATCTTCAATTTTAGCTTCGACTCGACAAAAGTAATCGATACATCGAATGACGCAAGTGTCTACGATAATTTACAGAGAAAAGTCTCTTGGATCCAGAGTCCAGACCTGTGAAAAATTTAATGAGGAATAATTCTCTCGATCCAATCGGAGTTTTGCTTGCATCGAGAGCCAAGCCTCTTAATTTAAGAGGATTTTCTCTTGATTCAAGCAAGATCCGATTGAATCAAGAGTATTTTTCTTGTCTATCTAAGCGTCTGAAATCTAGATCTAAGAGACTTCTTTTCCCCGGTGATAGTTTTTGCCAAACCTACGGATTTTCAAAAATCTGAGGATTTGGGATTTTTATCGAAATCTAGGTATTTTTATTCTTCCTAGCTAAAGATTTACTTCGGAGCCCCCTCAACTTTAGGCTGTTAGCATTATCGAGGCGGATGAACAGAAAAAGTAAATAAATAAATTCATAGGCATGGCCAAAGTCGTAAGGGATCTCTCCGGTTTAACTCAACAGCTATGTTGGTGATCTCCTTGAACCTCCCTCAATCACCATGTGAACAAAAACAGGGCCTCATGAAAAGGAGTTGTATCATTGCGCCGTATGAATGAGACGGAAGATTTAAATGGAACTAGCCCTCATGAGCGTGGGACCCAAAGTTTAGTTCATGTGGATCTCTGAAGTTTTCGGATTGAGCATCTGAACACTTCAGGTCTAGCTGCCGAAGTTCAGGTCTGATATCTGAAACTTCAGTTCTTACATCTGAAGTAGTTCAGATGTGAGAACCGAAGTTTTTCGGATGTGAAAACCGAAGTACTTCAGATGTAAGAACTGAAGTTTCAGATGTGTGATCCGAACTACGACAGCTAGACCTGAAGTGTTCAGATGCTCAATCTGAAAACTTCAGAGATCCTCAAGACCTAAACTTCGGGTCCCACGCTCATGAGGGCTAGTTCCATTTAAATCTTCCGTCTCATTCATACGGCGCAATGATACAACTATTTGAACTCTCCGGAATGCGTGAGGTATCACGCCGCATTTGAAGGCGTTTTCAAAACAGCAAAGTTCCGATACCCGGATTATCGTTTTGCGTAGTTCAAATTCTTATGTTATATTCCGTACCACTCGTTTATTTTTAATCCTCGCAGAAAAACCACCCATTTGCTAAATACAATTCTAGCAGGAGCGCACTTCAGCTATGCATTCACCACTGCAAAAATGTCAAAGGAAATCGACAAGCCCCGCGTGCACGAAGGCTAGCTCCATTTAAATCTTCCGTCACATTCTCACGGCGCAATGATACAACTATTTAAACTCTCCGGAATGCGTGAGGTATCACGCCGCATTTGAAGGCGTTTTCAAAACAGCCAAGTTCCGATACCCGGATTATCGTTTTGCATAGTTCATATTCTTAGCTGGTACCAGGGCCCGAGATGGGATGTGGCGGGCCTGCCCACGCACGAAGTTTTTTTCTCCGTGTGTAATGTTTTTTCAAAATAAAGCAGATTTTTGGATGAGATCTGAAGATTAATCGATGAAATTTTCAGTTAGAAATGCCCAAGATTTTCCCGGTAAAAATGCAATTTGCGAGGGGAAATGTATCAATGTTGAATTCAATTAGAGGAAATAGTTAGTTGGAAGTAAATTCCCACTCTTCGGAAGGGCACAGAAGTGATTTTCGGGCAATTCTCCTTTGCCCAAGCAAAACCTTAGTGTTTACTCATTTCGTAAGAGAAGGTTACCTGGGGAACCATCATTGACGGCCGTATTCATTGTCGTTCCTGGAACAACTTCTTTTCAGGAGGTCCTGTTTTTGTTCACATGGTGATAGAGGGAGGTTCCAGGAGATCACCATATGACCTAAACTTCGGGTCTCGCGCACGAGGTTTTTTTTTCTCCGTGCACAGATGCTTTTTTGAAAAAAATTGAATGGGTCAGTTGCGCTGGTCACAAACTCGTATTTCGATGCTTGATTCCTGTAGATTAGCGAAAAATAATACGATCTGTCCAAACCGCAACTTTCTACGTTCAACATTAACCGAGATATCGCCCCTTGAAAAGTCAGGTTTTTGACGTCATCCACCGCGGCAGTGACATCCTTGGTTTCTTCATCTTTTGTTCGATCAGTGATGCAGAGGGTGCAACACAAAACTCTGACGACGTTGAACGTAAACAAACTCCAAAAACAGACGGACTCACCCCTTAAAGATCTTCTTATCAGGAGATAATGCACTCGCCGCGAAGAGATTAGGTGATCAGACAGTTCACCTCAGGTTGTTTACGTTTACCGTCGCGTCGTTGGAGTTTTGCGTTGCGCCCTCTGCATCACTGATCGAACGAAAGAGGAAGAAGCCAAGGGTGTCACTGCCGCGGGGGATGACGTCAAAAACTGACTTTTCACAGGGCGATATCGCGGTCAATATTGAACGGAAAAAGTTGCGGTTTGGACGGATCTTATTATTTTCGGCTTATGTACAAGAATCAAGCATCAGAATACGATTCTGTGACCAGCGCGACTGACCCATTGTTTGAGCCAATTGGACGTATTTCTATCAAGCGGAACTATTTACTTTAAGACATGAGCCCTGAGACTCATAAGAATACATGCACAACAGGGCTCGAAGTGTAACCCTGGTTACGTTCCTTTGTCTGGAAGACGACGCGATATGAGTTCGTTAAAGTTGCCCTAAATGACTTTTTTACTTAAGAAGCGCCGCGTACTGACTTCCTGTAAGTGCTCCATTTCTCACCTAGGGTGTCTACTAAAACAGACCGACCAAAAATCAGAACTTTTATAGTACTTTTTCAGTACATTCCCGAGAAATTCAGTACCTCCTCGACGGAAAAATTCAGTACTTTTTCAGTACCCCCATTTAACGAAATTCGAGAAAGTTCAACGTTCTGAATTTCTTTCTCAAACTGCGACAAAAATGAAAAATTCCGGACCTTCTAGCGGAATTTCCGCACTTTTCCAGTGCTTCCGAACCGCCCTTAAAAAATCAGTACTCTTTCTGGACTTGTAGACACCCTGTCACCGGTCTGCGTCTGGACATAATTCTAAAAAATACTTTTTTGACCGAAAGAGACCGGGCAATGGATGCAAAAGAACACGTGAGAAGTGATCAGTCAAGTTACTCACCGGGATTTGTTAGGAGATGTTTCTTCAAACTATGTTTATGCATGTAAGCCGCCGAGCAGTGCTTGCACCTGAATCGCTTCTCCACCAGATTATGCGTCCGGACATGTATCTCTAAAATACTTTGCTTGTGGAAAGACAAGGAGCAAATGCTGCAGCTGAACGGTCTCTCGCCATGCATGCGGAGATGTCGCTTCAAACCGCCCTTATGCATGAAAGACGCCACGCAATGCTTGCAGCTGAATAGTTTCTCAGCCGTATGCGTTCGGATGTGGCTCTCCAAATCGGTTTTTTTGCGGAAAGCGGAGGAGCAAAGACTGCAGCTGAACGGTTTCTCCCCGATATGCGTTCGCATATGTTCCTTCAGAAGAGCTTTCAGGCTAAAAGCGGAAGGGCAACGACTGCAAATGAACGGTCTCTCACTCGTATGCGTTCGGGCATGTTCCTTCAAATGCTCTCTTCGATTAAAAGAACAAGAGCACTGACTGCAACTGAATGGTTTTTCACCAGTGTGCTTCCGAGCGTGTACCATTAAGGACCTTTTATGGGCAAAACAGGCGGAGCAATGGCCGCAACTAAATGGTTTCTCGCCGGTATGTGTGCGAATGTGGTGTATTAAATGCTCTTTCCGAACGAAGGAGGCGAGGCAATGGCAGCAACTGAATGGCTTCTCGCCAGTGTGCGTTCGGATGTGCATCGTTAAATTACATTTCATGGTGAACGAGGCAGAACAATGGCTGCAACTGAACGGTTTCTCGCCGGTGTGTATTCGCATGTGTTTACCCAAATGAGATTTTTGAAAAAAAGAGGAGGAGCAAAGATTGCAACTGAATGGTTTCTCGCCGTGGTGTATTCGCATGTGTTTATCCAAATGAGGTTTTTTGACAAAAGAGGAGGAGCAAAGATTGCAACTGAATGGTTTCTCGACGGTGTGTATTCGCATGTGCTTATCCAAATGAGATTTTTTAACAAAAGAGGAGGAGCAAAGATCGCAACAGAATGATCTTTCTCTGGCATGCGTTCGGGCATGTCTCGTTAAATCCTGGTTTTTGATGAAACAGGCGGAGCACTGGCTGCAACTGAATAGTTTCTCGCCGGTATGCGTTCGAATATGTCTCAATAAATCACCCTTCTTGGTAAATGTGGCGGAGCACTGATTGCAACTGCACGGTTTCTCGCCGGTATGCGTTCGCACATGTTCATTCAAAGTATCTCTCCGAATGAAAGTGGCTGAGCACTGACTGCAACTGAATGGTTTCTCGCCGGTATGCGTTCGCACATGTCTGCTTAAATCGCTTTTCTTGACGAAGCAAGCGGAGCAGTGGCTGCAACCGAATGGTTTTTCACCGGTATGTCTTCGCAAGTGTGGTATTAAGCTACCTTTCTGGGCGAAGCGGGCGGAGCAATGGTTGCAACTGAATGGTCTCTCGCCGGTATGCCTTCGGATATGTTGCTTGAAACGAGATTTTTGTGCGAAAGCAGCGGGGCAATGACTGCAACTAAACGGTAGCTCCCCGGTATGGATTCGAATGTGTGTCTTCAAAGAACTTTTGCGAGCAAAACAGGCCGAGCACTGAGTGCAACTGTACGGCTTGTTTTTTATCTGAGCATCATCTCTGATCGACACGAAGTCTGCGTGGAACGGGGTCATCGGAGGGCTCCTGTTGGTCTCGCTTTGAACAACAGATTTTGATTTTCCTTCGAGTGTCTTTTCCAATGGGTTTTGAGATAAATTCAAAACGCTTTCTAGCATTACCCAGGGTGTGATTGGGATACGATTGGAAAACTCGTTTTCCAAATCGTGTCCGCTTTCTTTTCCGACGGGAGTATTTTCAAGTTGATCAGTATTCAGAGGGTCTCCGTTCTTAATATCGATACTGGTATGTAGCTGGTGAGTCCAATTTTCATTTTCTTCATCTTCTTCGGATTTTATCCTGGTAGAAAGAGCGATGAGAGAATCGGGAGAAAATACGTCTCTTTGTGGCTGTGTGATTAAGGTTTTTTCTCCACTTGGAGAAGTTGCAAATTCATCTTTGAAGGCGTGTGTATGAGCGGTGAACTCCGTGTCAAATACAGATTCTGCTCCCGGCTCAGTTACTTCACACTTAATGAATACGAAGGGACTAGCCTCCAGGATGGTGTCCTTTGAATCCTCTTCACTTGTCACGCAAAATGCGATTCCTGGAATTCCGTCTTGAGCTATTCCTGGAATTCTGTCTTGAGCGATTCCTGGAATTCTGTCTTGAGGAATGGTGAGTGCTCCTCCGGAAGTGAACTTCGCTTCAGGTTGCTCCATCAGGGATCCTGGACGAAAGAACTTCGAAACTTGGGGGAAATAGTGCTGACGAACAAAATTTCGTCAGGAAAACGACGAAATATGGAATTCCTGGACACTGTCAATAATATTGAAAAGGATTGCGATTTCTGAAAGTCTGTCTTGAGGATGGCTGCGTGCTTTTTCATACGCGTACTCTGCTGCTTCCGATTGATCCGTTTGGAATCCTGAACAAAAGAAATTTCAAAAGTTTCATTACTACTGGCTTCTTGTCATACGCGGTTGCCACAAAATTTAGAAAATGAAACTTCATGATTTTCTCCTGATTCCCTGACACATTTTGGTGATATTCCCTGACACATTTAAGATATAACAGTTGATTAAGAAAACATGATTAAAAAAAGTTTTCAGGCAAAATTTGTTGTTAGAAACCTCAAACCCGTTTTAGAGAGCGACTAAAGGTGATTTAACAAAGTTTCCCTGACATTTTCGTCGTTTTCCCTGACATTTCCCGGTTTCCCCTGACTTTTTTAAATTCTCTGACATTTCCCGGTATTCCCTGACTGTGGCGACCCTGCACCAATGAATACTTTCATTAGGTACACGTATTTACAAGGAAAACCCCTCAGTCTTTTACTAGTTCTCATTGGAGCTCAAATTTTTGACCCCATTCGAAATTTGTGTAAATTTTGGACCCAACTCATCCATAAACTCAACAACATCAAATGGCATTCAGGTTGTTATGAATTCCCACTTTCCAAATGTTGTCTCAAGAGGCAACAATAAAAGCATTAAATGAAACACTATTAATAACAGTTCAAAATATTGTAATTCACATCAGGGCTGAGGAAAAGTCAGACCGCCTTCAGTATTTCGTGTATGCAACGCGGACATCCGCAGAACACGAATAGTTGTATTCAGGCGTTGTAATCAAAACCCAGTGGACCGCAAGGCATGATGAGGAATAGACCTGCTTCCACGTCAACATATCACGCACAGCACATTTCACTCGAAGAAATCTTGAAAATTAACTCATACGTGAAGAAATAAAGTCAGTAGTTACATCAGGATGCAAATACATTGCGCGCAGAAGACACAAGACGCAATTAGAATTTACAAAGTCTCCGAAGCAAAAAAATAAAAAAAAGAAAAAAAAAAAACATTAATTCTCTTTACGGTTGAGAACGAAGATAACTGGTTAACTTTATAGTTAAAATTTTCGACCTCGCTTGCTCATTAATTTTTACGATGCGAAAGACGCGGTTCGGTGCCTTCATCCTCAGCCGATTGATTGCGAAACTAAAGAGTTGATATCAGGTTTGCCAGAGAATTTGAAAAATGAAATTTCCTGATTTCCCTGGCACATTTTGGTGAAATTCCCTCACAATTAAAGCTATGACAGATGGTTTAGAGGACATAATTGAAAATAGTTTCCAGGCAAAATTTGTTTTTTGAAACCTCGAACCCATTCTAGAAAGCAAATCAAGGTGATTTAACAAATTTTCTCTGAGGTTTTCGACATTTTCCCTGACATTTTCCGGTTTCCCTGGTATTCTCCGACTGCCCTTGCAGCAGCGGCTGTTAAGGAAAGTTGTAAAAAACTCGTAAATTTTATGAGAAATTAAAATTTACTTCAAAACCACTTGAAAATAACTTAAACTCTTGAAATATTCGTACCAAAAAATCTTTTTTGGGGTTTTTTTTACATAAAATTGAAGAAAAATTTTAAGTATAATTTACGTATTTTTTTTCATAAACTTCCTGCGGGCAAAAACGAGGGGAAAAGTGGTGAAAAGAAAAGTATAAAAGGAAAAGTTGCAGCCCATAAAAATTGAGGATATAATTTTTTGATTTCTACGTAAATTTTACGTTTTCTTTTAATTAAAATAACACTATTTTTTCATGAAAAAGAATTCTCAAAAAGGGTTTCCTCAAACGAGTATTTTAAGAGTTTCTTTACCTACTTGACATTTACAAACTCCTAAAATTTACAAGTATTTTATATTTTTTTGACAACTTTTTGCAGAATTTTTTTTAAGAGCCAATGCTACCAGGGCGGCAACCCTGTAATATACGATTCAATGGATCTCAAGAACATTTGAGCAGTTTCCCGGAATTCGAAACATTTGAGGACTTGGGAATTTGATAAAGAAAACTCAAGGGCTTTTCAATGTGTTACATACCTGTGTTACATCCTGAGATCCCGTAGTTTCTAAATCCCTGATTTCTTCAATGAGATCCACCAATTATATTGCTGGGAACTGCTGGATATGTGATGAAGATAAAAATATCTTCACAGGAACTTACCTGAAACAAGAAGTAGAATATCTTCGTCATTTTAGATCCAGTTGTGCAAAGGAGAGTGATTGTGAGGTGATATTTAAAGGGCTTGGAGGACATGACGCATAAGTGCAGTTTCCACTGTTGCGAGGAATACGTGTTTAAAGTTTCGAAATAACATTACATGGGTCCTCAAGGCGGAGAGACAGTTCAAACTGACTTTTGAATGCTTAAGAATTGGAATTAGGCAGCTAATTTTTAATTTTTTACAGAATATGCATAGAGACTAGTTTTACTTGGAATCATCAATATCTCAATTTTTTTTAAAAAACCGCACTTATGCGCCTTGTCCTATAAACCCCTCAATTAACGTGAGCGCTTTTCATCTCGATATCGGCGAAAATGGGTGATTTCTTCTGCGATTTCGAACAAAAAATGAGAAATTCTGAAATAATCTCCGGAACATCGAGGTAAATATGATATGTTTCCGGCGGTTTTGTAATATCGTTAAAAATTGCGTATTCGCTTTATAACGCCACACAAATAACGAAAATTCTCCGTTGGATGGTTAAGAACATAAAAGACCACACACTTATCACCTCAGTATCGCAGAAAATTCGGGTGTTTCATATCAAAGCGAGCATAGAAATCACGATGTCCGTAATTTGCGATAGGTAAAGAGCTATGATTTTCCTTCAATTTCGTGAGATACCACATGCCTACTCCGGAGTTCGAATAGTTGCTCCCTTGGTTTCCGCTTGCTCGTAAATAAAGAATTATACGCGTTTCATCTCAGTCTCGCAGAAAATGAGCGATTTTTCCAGCGGAGGCGCTAAATTCTAAACAATTACTCCCTGATCATCTCGATATCAGCAAAAATGCGGGATTTTTCTTGCAATTTCGAATAAGAAAAGAGAAATTCCGCAATATCGAGGCAAATATGATATTTTTCCGGCGGTTTTGTAATGTCATTAAAAATTGCGTATTCGCTTCATAACGCCACACGAGTTACGAAAATTTTCCGTCAGATGATCAAAAACGTAAAAAACTACACGATTCTCAACCGAGTATCGCGGAAAATTGGCGATACATCGAACATAGAATTCATGATGTCCGTAATTTGTGATAGATAAAGAGCCATGATTTTCCTTCAATTTCGCGTGATACCACATGCCTACTCTGGAGTTCGAACAGTTGCTCGCTTGGTTTCTGCTTGCTCAGGAGTAAAAAATTACACGCGTTTCATCTCAGTCTCGCAGAAAATGAGCGATTTTTCCAGCGAAGGCGCTAAATTCTAAACAATTACTCCCTGATCATCTCGATATCAGCGAAAATGCGGGATTTTTCTTGGACAGTCGAACGAAAACAAGGAAATTCCGTGATAATCTAGGCAATATCGCGATTTCTCCACAGGTTTTTTTATTATTTGTGAAAATTACGCGTACTTATTCATCTGCCACGCGATACAAACGTAAATTCTCCGTAGGATGCTTAAGAACATTAAGGATCACACACTTATCACCTCAATATCGCGGAAATTTCGCGAGATTTATATCGAAACGAGCATAGAATTCATGATGTCCGTAATTTGTGATAGGTAAAGAGCCATGATTTTCCTTCAATTCCGCGTGATACTACATACCTACTCCGGAGTTCGAATAGTTGCGCGCTTGAATTCCGCATTTAACGATGCGGGCCTAACACTGCCGTGCTAAGGAGAAACGTATGAATATTCGGGAGGTACTAAATTTTCCCAGATAAAATGTTTATCTTTGAGGTGGATTATGAATATCTACATTTGAAATTTTCTAATAATTTAGTTCTGATCGCGGATAAAATTCTCTAAAAAAATTGAAGAAAACTATTCATAGATTTCCTCAAAAACAATATTTTATTGAAGGAAATTTAGCAACTTCTGTAAGCTCCTACGGCATTCTTCCTTAGCACGGCATAATACCTCCGTTTAAGGACATCAGTAATTTGAGACGGGCGAAAAGCTAAGATTTCCCTTCATTTTCACGTGATACTACATGACTTCTCCAGAGTTCGAATAGTTGCGCGCTTGATGTCCACTTTGACCGCAGTGTCGCAGAACATTTTTAAATTTCCGTGAACAGTCAAAGAAATATGCGATTTTTCCAGGGATTATGTAAAGAAGTGAGATTACGCGTATTTCACCACAAAGCTGCGTCAAGTAGTTACGCAATTTTTTCAGGGGTTTTGTACGAAACAAAAAGAATTACTTATCTAAGCTACCAGTTGCATGCAAGAGACCGTATTCGATAGTGGTTCGATTTATCGTTCGGTTCAAAACAATAGAGCATAACCTCAAACGAATCTATTGGGGTTTAAGTTGGAAAAGCTGAAAATGAGAAAATTCCCAACAATTTCACTTTGCATTGGCATTTGGTACTCAAAAGAATAAAACATCTGTTACAAAAGACCCGTTCCCTCCGATTTCTAAATTGACTTTTGAGACTATGTTTATGTTTTGAACCAATCGATATCGATAAAATCTCACCTGTTTGATGTATCGAATACGACCTATGCCCTCCATCTAAGAGAATGAGGAGAATGGTCTTTTGATTGGCTGATGGTTGATAGTCCCCGCGAATTTCCAGCTCCAGTTATTCTCACATTTTTGGCCCCCGTGGGAAATGACGTGATGTTTCTTTTCGCAGTGAAATAAGAGGGAAATAAAGACTTTAGACGTCAGAAACTCATAAAATCAATCCTGTGGAATCTCCTCGGGAAAATGACGGATAGGTCTTGCATTTTTCCTTCCCATAAGAGAAATTTACCCTACATTTACAGAAGCTGTTGTTATGCAGAATGCAATTTTCCGTATTTTAAGGATTTTCAAGAAAAGTTCATCACGTGTGATACTGCGCATGCTGAGGAAAAATGCCGTGCGAACATTCGAGAGTTGTCAAATTTCCGCCGATAGGTAAAATGTTTATTTTTGAGACGAGTTATGGATATTTGTTTATTTGAAATTTACAGACAATTTTGATTAAATTACAAACAAAATTATCTGAGAAATATATTCACACATTTTCCTATAAATTAAGAGTTTTGTCAACGGAAATTTAGCAACGTCTGAAGGCTCATACGGCATTTTTCCGGCAGGATAGGAAAAACAGAGACTTACTGTCAATCATTCTCTTCCGAAAATTCCTGAGGGGAAGTTTTTGCGGTTTCCGACGAGTAAGTTCGTCTTCGTTTTCGAGTAAGGTCCTAAGAACACCACATGGAAAATGTTGGCACTGGCTGACCTTAAAATCTGTGCAAACCATCAGCCGATCAGAGACAACTCACCTCTCTCACTTGAGGGTAGGAGGAGTCATGCAGCTTGTGATTCAAATTATGACTCTTCTTTTCTCTTCGACTGATCGAGAATACTGCCGTGCTAGAAAAGAACGCCGTATGAGCCTTCAGACGTTGCCAAGTTTCCTCCTATAAAAGCCGAATTTACTGGGAAAATTGTGAACATTATTTTCCAAAATTTCCGGACTATTTTGTACGCAATTCTATCTAAAGTATCTAAAAATTTCAAAGAAAAACGTGTATGAATATCGTCACACATACATGTTTTATCAAGGGAAATTTGGCAACCCTCAAATGTTCATACGGCGTTCTTCCTTAGCACGGCAGAATACTTTTTTTTTTTTTTAATACTTCAAGTAGCCCACAAGGGCTAATCATGCACTTTAAGTCCCACCCCCCTCCATTCCTACTGAACCAGTCCCAGGCAACGATTCTTGGAGACCATCAAACTCGGGTCGCCTGGCTAGGAATCAAACCTGGGACCTCCCAATCATAAAGCTAGCGCTAAAACCACTACACCATAAGAGGCCGACTGAACATTCTGATTGTACTTATCACAAACCATTTCAGCTGTTCAGAACAATTTAAGAATTGAATACACTAATTCTCCCTCACCAAGCCAGTAACAAATCACAGCATTCAAAGGAAATAGAAAAGTCATGCACTGTGGCACAACTCTTACACCAAACAAAATAAAACTAAGTATTACGATACGTTTCAGTATAACTCATGTCAGGTGAATTGGAAGTTGTTTACTTTTGACTGTCAGAGGCAGCAGACCACTTTGTGTTTCCCATAGAGTACATAGAGTCGTAATGTAAGTGGGAGAGCTGGCGCCACTTTTAAGCATTTTCCATGTCCCGAATTCCGAGACTCCTGTGTGACGCTGGGTCACTTTTTCGATACATAATCGATTGTTTGCGATACACGGGTACCCGGCCATCCGATGACAACAACAACAACAACAACAAAGGAGATAGGAATTACCACGTATTCCACACCGCCATTTTGGATCGAAAATGTATCGAAAAAGCGACCCGGACTCGGCGCACACCGGGCTCGGAATTCGTCGAGCAGAACATGGCGCCAGCTCTCCCATTTGCATTAAAACTCTATGTACTCTAAGGTGTTTCCATTCAGAGCAGCAGCGTTGTCTGCAGTCAATTCTCAATGGCTATTGAACTACAGCATTGGGGTTTCTGACAGACAGAAGGTAAACAACCGCCAATTTATCGGGCACAGGCTCTAATAACTTTCAAACTGAGCACTGTGGCAAACCGATGCCTGCAGAATGCAATGCATTGATTTTGAGGTAAAAGAATTATCTTGATACTAGTCTGCACCACAAAAAGTGGCAGCTGATGAGCAGAGTTAGGGATCAGTTTTGAGTATTGTTGAAGCATAAAATCTCAACTAGGCTCATTCATACAGCCTGCAAGAGGACAATCAATCCTTGAACAAATAGACCGTGCCCCCCAGCCTCTACCCCTTAGCTTTCAACTTTTCATGGCGTTGCCAATAAGAGCTGGAGGAGTACCAGATTATTCTGCAGAACTGTATCTTTCAACTTGTTAATCAATTCTTTTCGTATTAATTCCATGCCGAAAAAGTTTACGCACTTTTAGACTGCGACAGAAGATCCGCTATCTTAGGTCTCGTCTTTACTTTCAATGCTAGAGTGACATTGGATAATCATCTGTCAAAGCCAAAAGGTGCATAAACTACTTGAGCATCAACTCCAACTGGCAACAATCCACAATATATGTCTATGAGATGTGATGATTATGTAAACTGTTTGGAAGCGTTCGGAAGTAAAATTGCCTGGTGGTGCATTGTTTCGCATAGTTTTAGTTATCCATTAGCTTGTATGTTTAAGCATGAATGCCCAACATTTAAATTCAACATTGATTGATCTCCAGAGGACGCTGGGCTAGGTAAGGTTCAACTGCATTTGAGCTGCGTTGCGAAAGTTAACTGTTTGGGATCATTTGGAAACGAAATTACCCAATTCCAAACGGTCGGCATTCTTGGACTTCATTAGAATTCCCCGATGACTTGTGTGTTTACATATGAAAGCATAATGTTACTACCAAACGCTCAACGATCTCAGGAAGTCAAATGGACTGTTGGGTTGCATTTGCATACAGAGTCATCAAACGAAATCGAACAAGATTACTTCGACAGCGCACCTTTCGTAAACGGTTGAAATTGCTGAGAAAATAGAACAGTGCTCATACACTTGTGCTCATGTCACATGTAATTAGGCATGACTAACTTGACACCTACAAGCTGTAAGAATGGATTTCTAATTGTGAGAGAGGTACTTACAAAAAAGATAAATGTGCCGATGCACCTGAATGGCTGTAATGAAGCTCATCACTGAACACTAATTCCAAATGAATTGGCGAAGATTAAGAACACTAAGGCACGATGTTAAATAAAACACGAATCTTTCAGGTAAAATAAACGAGCCCGACTGGTTAGAACGACTTTGAATTCGTATTTCAACAGCAATGACTCGTGGTTCACCGTGATCAACGAACACAGAAAATTCTATATGAATGGCGAAACAAATACTCGGGCTACTGAGGCACCATGTTTAAAAAACACGAACTTTGGAGAGGGTACAATAAGAGTGAACGATTCAACATTGATCCAAAATTAATATTTAACTTACAACACAAAAGAAAGAAAAGTAACACCACCAAACTCCAAACCTAACGAAAGAAGAAATATAATTATAATTGAGGTTAGGTATGCCGACCAACGTGACGCCATGATGCCAAATGGTGACGCACAGTGGTTTAGCTGCAGCCTGCTAAATAAGTAAAAACGGCCGCGCCGTATAAGTATTTGAATGTTGCCAAATTTCCTCTTTGGAAATATATATTTATGAATGTTACTAATGTTTTTCTCCAAAATTTTCAGACTTGTGGGATCAAATTACGAACGAAATCCTCTGAAAAATCGAAGAGAAATATTCAAAAATTATATTTTTGAAGATTGGTGATTTATCGGAGGAAAGGCAATGTCTTACGAACACAAGTCGCATGAAAATGGAGCTCTATGGGACTTGGGACATAAAATTCAATAAAATTAGATGAGCATCCTAGAACTTAGAAATTCCAAAAATTTTTACGGAGAATCATTTGGTGAAAAGTAATGTGAACTCACATTGAAAGTTTTAAAGAAATTATACTTCAGAAATTTTTCTCTGTACTTCTGTACCTGGTCAGAACAGGCCCGCCACATCCCGCATCTCGGGCCCTGGTACCAGTTTTAAGGTCCGGGCCCCCAGCACAGAGAGGGGGGAGGGGGGGGTCCGAGGGGCATCCCCCGAGAAATTTTAGAATTTATGCGACTAATCGGACGCATTGTGAAGCTTCCATAAAGAATTTTTCCATCAATTTCTGCGGAATAATTATGTTTTTTTTTTCTACTTTCAGCACAAAATACTTGCGAATCGTTGCATTCAAAACATCTGGAAAATTTTTATTTTTTTGGGGGGGGGGGTATATGATACTATTTTCGGTTCTGTGAGGGCCAGGCCCCCCGGGACTCCCCCCTCGTTTGTCTATGGCAAGGGTGTTGAGCGATGAGCCATTGAAGTCGAGGATGCTCAGACTGGAGACTCTTAGCATCTGACGACGGAAGAAAATGAAACGCAGATACTAAAAATATCCTTCTATACTGAAAATCTTGAAAATAGATAGAAATTTTCCAAGAAGTATACTTCTTTGAAAATTTAAGAAGAATTCTACAGTGCCTCAGCGTGTTTCTGAAAATCTGTTCACCTTTTGCGAAATTTTTAGGGTAAATTTTTCACTTTTTCTTACGATACAAGGGTTGTATGTGAATTCGTAGTGGTTTTTCACGGGTAACCTGGGCCTATTCCGGGGCCCGGGCTCCGGTACCAGGGACCCAGTATCCCCCCCCCCCCCCCCCCCCCCNGTCGATTTCCTTTGACGTTTTTGCAGTGGTGAATGCATAGCTGAAATGCGCTTCAGCTAGAGAATTGTATTTACAAATGGGTGGTTTCTCTACGAGGATTAAAAATAAACGAGTGGTACGGAATATAACAAAAGAATATGAACTATGCCAAACGATTCTCCGGGTATCGGAACTTGGCTGTTTTGAAAACGCCTTCAAATGCGGCGTGATACCTGACGCATTCCGGAGAGTTCAAATAGTTGTATCATTGCGCCGTAAGAATGTGACGGAAGATTTAAATGAAGATAGCCTCCATGCACCCTGGGCGTGTCGATATCCTCAATTTTTATGGGCTGCAACTTTTCCTTTTATAGTTTCCTGTTCACCACTTTTTTTCCTCGTTTGGCCCGCGGGAAGTTTATAAAAAAATACGTAAATTTTACTCAAAATTTACGCAAAAAAATTTACTTAAAATTTTTCTTCAATTTTATGTAAAACAAAGTCCCGAAAAGGGTTTCCTAATACGAATATTTCAGGAGTTTTGCGAGCTTTCAGGAGAGCTTTCGAGCAGAAGAGCAAGCGGGTTTCAGGGCTGGCAGATCAACCATCGACCATCTATTTTGCATCACCCAGGTTATTGAGAAGAAGATGGCGGTTGGTCAAGAATTGCACTTGGTGTTCGTGGATTTGCAAAAAGCCTATGATAGCGTGCCTTTAGTGAAACTGTGGGAGGCCTTGAAAAAATCTGATTTTACTCATGGACCCACATAGCACAGAATCTTATGTCAATACTGATACATATTGTTGGATGTTGACATGATATCACCAACACTAATGCAGTATGATATTAAGATTGTCGGTTAAAAGGTATACCGCGTCAGCATGAATATAACACTAATACCTTCAATATATCAAACAAAAGTATTGAGTCAATGCTGACGAGGTAAAAAAAAATAACACGAAAAGAAATTAACACGAAAAAATGAAAAAAAATATAGGAAGAAAAAGAAGCCTAAGAAAACACGGTGTTAATCAAAGTTATGATGAAAGTCGAGCCGCGCACTGATGCTATGCATGCTGTAACAGCCTTGACAGGCGTGATTTTAACCCGAAATACCATCAGTTCCCTGTGGCTCAATGGCAGAGTACTGGGCTAGGAATTCCGCGGTTCGGGTTCAAATCCACCCGAGGGCGTCCGGGTATTTTACGCTACTAAACGTCGCAGGACATCAAGTAAGTGGTTTATAATATTCAATACTTGTATACTTGTGTAATTCATGTTTCAAATGTAATACATGTATAGTACTATGAAAATGACGGTCATCGTCTGAACTTTCATATCTACTTGACAGAGTGCGCTGAGTGTACAGACGTGTCAGTGTTAAGGTAGTAATGCATACATATTGTCGGTGTCCTGCAGTGTTCTGATGACCTTGTCATAACCCTGATTTCCATATGACATCAACCTTTTCGGCCAATACTGTAACAATATTTTGACAGCTCCAAATCAGTAACTAATAAATACTGGCATAATCTTGATATAATATTAAATCAGGATACATCAGCATTATATAAATACTGACACTACTGACGTGTCAGTACTATTGTAGTATTATATCAATATTCTGTGCTATGTGGGGACTAATTAACGCTATCAAGCATTTTTATCAAGGGACTTTCGCAAGGATTAAATGTCAAGGCGCCTTGTCGGAGGGTTTTTATGTAACAAAGGAGCTAAAGCAAGGGTGTTGCCTCTCCTCCACCTTGTTTAAAATATACTTGGAACATGTACTGCGTGAATAGAAGAAAAAATGTTCCGGAATGGGTGTCCCTCTGAATGATGAAGAAACTCTTTACATGTTATGCTTTGCTGATGACCGAGTACTTATCGCCCAAGATCAGGATGATGCTGAGTACATGACTCGAAAGTTGGTGGCTGAGTATCGGAAATGGGGCCTCGAGGTGAATGTCAGCAAAACCGAGAAGTTGACCGTTGGCGGGAATCAGCAAAGTACAGAATTAGAGGATGGGCGGCAAATTGGAAGCTGCGATATTTACAAATATTTAGGAGTGTTTCTAACCCAGGATGGAAGATTGGACCAGGCCATCAAGAAGAGGAATATGCAGGGTAGGAGGGCAATCGCTATGTTAAATGGAGTCCTTAGGGACCAAAGAATCTCCAAAAAGAACAAAAGAAAGATCTACAACGCGATTGTCAAGAGCATAGTAACCTACGGGTGTGAAGTATGGCCGATGAAACAGCGGACCCGGGAGGTTTTAGAGGCAACAGAGATGGACTTCTGGCGTAGATCCGCTGGTATTTCCAGAAAGGATCGCGTC